TAAAGTGATAATATTCAATTGTAAAGTGATACCATAAGAACAGATTCAATTGTAAAGTGATATCATAAGAACAGATTCAATTGTAAAGTGATACCATAAGAATAGATACAATTGTAAAATGATACCATAAAAAATATTCAATTGTTAAGTGATAATATTCAATTGTAAAGTGATACCATAAGAAAATATTCGATTGTAAAGTGATACCATAAGAAAATACTCAACTGTTAAGTGATACCATGAGAAAAGATTCAATTGTAGCGATACCATAAGAAAAGATTCAATTGTAAAGTGATACCATAAGAAAATATTTAATTGTAAAGTGATACCATAAGAAAATATTTAATTGTAAAATGATACCAAAACAAAATATTTTATGTCGTTGTGCGATATGGTTATCAATGTTTTGATTATGTTACATTAGTGCCTTGTGTTTTTTTGTTATTACCCCGACTTTCTCTTTTTTGGACATACTACTACTTCACTTCCATTTTATCCAGTTTTCGACGATTAGTAAAATTCGCTTAAAATCTTGCCGACATATCTTGTCTTATTCTTGTGCGTTTTCAGTGATTTCCGGGTAAATCCCTGCCTTATTATTTTACTTGTTTAGTTATATGTATTTTGTTTTTATCTCCCATTTTGCTCAACTTCACCATTTTGGCTTCTTATATCACTGATAAGTTTTTATAAACCGGAACATAGACAAAATCATTTTATTACCATATGCCAACAATAATATTAATTCCAACGGGATTACGATATATCAGTGATATGCTGACTGTAACTTATTGACTGCGTCGATCGTATATATACCCTACTTCTTAGCTGTTGATAGGACATTTAACCCTATAAAACCAAACCAAACAAATGCTCCTTATCTTGAAATTTAGGACATTGCAGACTCTTCTTAATCAACTGCTTCCCCCAATCTTTACTAACAACATTACCAACAGGGTCGGCTTTCTATCATTTGCATGAAAAGCGTGACTGTTTCGATTTTACGATAGCGACTTTCCTTTTGTTGATAGTAACACCCCTGCATCACAAACTCACAGTGATTAACTTGTTAAGTTGATTCGATATTTAAAAAGCTTGCTACGAATATCACGTGTTCTGCGATGGATGTCGACTGCAGACAAGCAAAAGTACAACAAAGGTTTTCAAGAGATGCAGGTCGATGAAGACCATGCACAAGTTATGGTCGCCGGCGTGATCTCATTCGGAAGTAAGCTCTTTTTTGTGTGATATAAAGATTGATGATTTGGACCTTGCTAATAAGTTTGCCTTGTTGTTGCGTTGTCACTACTCTAGTTTTAGAAAGACTTAACATCTGTGTGATGCAGTGTAATTTATTTTTGACATGCGTTATCAAGTACCAAATTGTACAGGTTCAATCTCACGAGTGCGGTGTGTCTTACCTTCGTCTCTAAGGACAAGCAAAAGTACAACATGTTTCAAAGTTCTTTTGAAAGACCCAAACTCTCACCTGGAATTGAACCAAAGCTGCCTGTAGCAATGGCTTAACCACAGGAGAAACTCAATCGCCTATAGCAAGCCTAAGTAACTTCATATTGATATATATTTGCGCAATATACCATTTTGTTTCGATATTAACTTTTGAATTGAAATTACCCGCCATTATTTCAGACACAAGGCTTTGGTTTGGTTTGAATTGAATGATTTTAACGTCCTAGCATATTAACATCCAAAGTCATTTAAAATCGTGCTGCTATTTGTGTAATGTATGTTGTGTGCTGGATGTGGTATGAGGGTGTGTCGCCTCATTATGATATCGAATCTGATGCTGACTTTAAAGTGCTACCTCACTGAAATACCATGCCAAAGGTACCCAGCACAGCATTCCTCCCGGTCAAATTATACCGGTAAGGGGTTAACCAGTCCTCTACGCTGTCCATTTAAAGTTGAGCGTCACACAGAGTTCCCACGTGAAATAACAAGATTAACAAAACCAAATCAAACCAGTAACAAAAGCTTTGTTTTTAAGCCACAAGAAATAAAGTTATTTAAAAACATATATAGTGTATATACAACTAGTTAACTAAAGACACAGAACAGCATGGTCTGGAAGATATACACAATGCGACCGTGGCGTTAATACATTACAGGGATCTGATAATGAACAGACTGATATCCTGTGTAAGGGAATACCCTGCCAGTTAGCCATTTAAAATAAATTGTCAGTTCGATACTTCGACCTCTAATTACATGCAAAATATCTTTCTTGGTGGTCAACAAGGATGTTTTAGTTTTCATATCGAGGGATACTAAAAGTACGGCGTTATATTTCTGTCAACACGACATAACGAATATTGCAGTACGTCAACAAATCATTTGAATGGAACAAACTAGCGGAATTGCATAGGACCTAAATGAAATCGATGTTATCAGAATGTCAACGGTAAGGTCATTATAGTCTGTTTCATGTTAAAATGTATTTAACGTTTTTGTATTATATGTTTCACGTTATGGTTTGTTTCACGTCATGTTGGCTTGCAAACTCTACTTTGTGTGGTATTGTTTCACGCAGTCAAGTTATTCACGTTACAGTGTTTCACGTCATGTTGCATTTCATGGTTGTTTCATTCTATAGTGTTTCACGTTTTGGTTTATTTCATGAGTACAATGTACATGTATTTGACATTATATTATGTCTGATTTTATATTTTGATTTAAATTTTAGTGTATTTCACGTAGTATGTTATTATGTCTCCTTTAATTTATTTTACCTTGCGATGTTTTACGTTAAAGTTTGCTTCATGTTGTAAATAATGTTTTATGTTAAAAGTTTGCTTGAACATAGAACAAATTTTGGTGCTTGTAAATGGTTTCTGAATACCACCTCAGCAATTAACACGAATATAATATGAAGACAACAACCAGACAAGAAGACGATGACATTTGAGAATTAAATTAAATTGAATCATCTATTAAGTATATATTGTTGATTGATGTTATAGATATGTAGATATAGAGATTTTGAGCAATGTCAACCCATATTAGGTTTCTCCATATTTTATATTTCACGCTAACGGCATTATAAGTTATATATGCAAGTAGGTTGTTCCTAACATTCGTATCATACAATGACACCTTATTCTTTTGCAGCATACCAGTACAAAATACCTCCTGAGGGGATGTTACGTCCTGTTAATGGTTACCGTAATCATGATGACGTACATAGTGTATAACGTACGACTGTCCATGACGTCACACTTTGCTGCGGGAATAACTCACGTCAGAACCGGACATGAAAACGAGACTCAACATAGAAATGGATGTAACACATGTAGGAATACTGGAGCCATGGTTCGTGCTCCAAACAAACAAGCTAAAAAGAAATTGATCCTATTCTATAATCCTCTGCACTGGTGGAACGACTGGATGGAGGGTAGGACAGATAGCTCAGCCGTATTCCAGAACTGTTCTGTACAAGACTGTACCCTTACCAAAGATGTGACCAAACTAGCGGCCAGTGATGCAGTTTTCTTCAATATGCATACACTACCTAATGTTCCTGAAAAACGTTTGGGACAGGTATGGATTTTCTCCGAATTCGAAGCACCAGAAAATTTTGCAGACAAAGATGTACTAAATAAGTTCATGGGGAAGATCAACTGGACATTTACCTATAGACGGGATTCTGATTTTCACATTCCACACGGAAGATTTGTTAAAAGGTCGCAGGTCCTGGACGATGATTTCATGCTTCAACTGAAATCAAAAGTACGGAGTAAAGTTGCCGTAGGCTTCATAAGTCACTGTGGGACACCTTCAAGGCGTATGGAGTATGTCGAACAAATTAAAAGAAGTGGTATACACGTTGACATTTATGGAAAATGTGGTGAACGGAAATGTTACGGCAAAAATAGACACAAGACATCATGGAACATCACCCAGAACCACAAAAACAAATGTTTCTCAGCAACTGTACCAACTTACAAATTTTATCTGTCGTTGGAGAACGCGCTATGTCGGGATTACGTTACAGAGAAGTCGTTGAATTTGGTTTTGCGGTATAACATTGTGCCTGTTGTACGGGATGGCGCTAATCGTTCGCTATACCATCCACCAGGTTCGACCATCGATACAAAGAAATTCCGGTCTGCAGTACATCTCGGTATATATCTGTCTGGTCTTAATTCAAACATGGCTGCATATCAGAAGTTTTTTAGATGGCGGAAATATTTCTATACTGAGGGAATACTGAACAGTTGGAATAAAGGGATATGCGACCTTTGTCAGCGTCTTCACAACGAGAACAAATACCGCCGTATCTATGGTGATATAGCTGCGTGGTACATAAAACCCGGCCAGCAACCTGCATGTTATAAACCGAAGGATTTGTACAATAAATTCAAATAAATAATATAAAGACATTGGAATGGATGACTGAAATACCTGCTTTAGTACCATTGCTCTCCGCTAGGATGCGCACTTTGATTGCATCTAAGCTGCGCTTATGTGTTGTAATTTCGACGCTAAGCCTGCGGGAGAGTAGAAAAAACTACAGCGACATTTCAGTCTTTTGGAACGCCTTTGCGTCAACGCTATAACACCAGGAACACCTGGTCATATCGATATTTTGTATGATGTAGAGCTACGATCAGCTATATAATGTCACAATTATGTACACATTGTTGTACACACCTAATAAAGAGACACATATTTTTTTATTCAATTATGTTTTTCTTCTTTTATTATCTTATTTTAACTGCAAAATTCATTTATAAGCTAACCAAATTGTATAATACACTTAGTAGATAGTTTTATAGCGAGTTGGGACACATCCACATTGTATTGTATACCACTTGTTTTGATGTTATTTGTTGGTGGAAGTCACAAAAACGTGAAAGAAATCATGCTGAAAACTTGGTCTTTGCTTATTAAACCAGTTCATAGCGAGACTCGGATACACCATAAAAATGTAATGACCAAGTTATTAGTAGATGGAAGTCCCGAACACTGACGATATCATGCTGCAAACATGGTCTTTTCAGATTATTCAGGCCATATGGAGACTCAGAAACACAATAAAAGTGTAGTGGCCACGTCCCTTCCGATAACATTACAGATACGTGTCCGAAGAGTATAAAGGTGTTACGACATACAAAATGTAATTAGTATAAATTAGTTAGCTCGTGAAGGCATGCATACGATCTTCTGAATGGTGTATACGCTTTACGTAACTTTGACAGGTAAATACCAGTTGAGACACGGGATATTACTCACTGAAGTCTATGATCAGATTGCACTGACACACCATGTTGTTCCATTCCCATCCTTCATAACCTTTGCAGAAAGACTTGGCGAGCACTGGCTACAATAATAAGGTATTTGTCAATGAAATGCCGCAGTTTTCGTATTCAGAGCGATTGCACAGTTGTATAGGAACCTAAGATTTGGACGTGCAAAAGTAAATAATTTCATTGACACTGTGATGGTTTAAACTTAAGAACATTTGAATACGCTGGCAAAAGTGAGAACGTATTAGGTTTAAAATCAATATGCCGCTGGTTTTGGCTCATTTAGCAACTTGCCATCCCTTTATCAGTATATCGGTGATGTCTTTGCGTTCTTTGTAACATAGACCATCACATAGTTGTTGACGTGTTTTTAACAGCGTTTGATTGGTACATTTTTGAAGTACGTCCCTGGCCTGCTCCTGTATTCTCTCTTTGTCATGCTTTGACGCATGTATGTCAGCCTCGTCAATTCCAAAATACCGCGCCAAAGAAGGATAATCAGTTCCGATGTGTTTAGACACATTCTGCAAGTCGATTGCAGTCACTGGTGTTTCTGGGGATGGGATATCGCCAGTGAACCTTGTTGTTTGGGGTATATCGTAGTCTGTGATATCCTTTCTATCAGCCGAGATCAGCGCATCCTTTAAGACCTCTATTTTATTTGTTTCTTGTGCTTTCCTATACCATTCCCATAAAATTTGGAAGCATTTTTCATGTTGAATGTTGTTATCTTTATGAATTTGCGTCTGCTTATCTGATGAAACGCGTAGATAGGTTGCAACTGTGCTTATTTCAGTGGTTAATTTATCCGATATCCAATCCAGATAAAACCGCCACTCTGCAATAAATAAACCAAACCATTTCGTCATTTACATGTTATTAGCTGATTGTGACTATAATTAGATATTTACAGGATATGACTTAGATGTAGAAGTGTCAAACCATGCAAAAATATACCAATGCTGTTAACAAAACATAAAATATAACATACTTTCGCACTGTCCTGGCCCTGCAGTTAATTCAGCATTGCCCAATGGAAAATGATCAATCAATTCTTTATTATCTGGCTTTGGTGGATACGACACCGTGATGTGAAGTAAATACCAAATCTTCAAATGGTAAGTGATTGTTGTTTATAATACATAGTCCAGCATTGTGTTATAGAGCGATGGTTGAGGTCATTCCACTTTGCTTTATTGTTTCAGTAGTTTTAGATATATACCAATACATCAACTTTATTTAGTATGTAAAGTGACAACCTATCATGTCCATCCTCTGTCAGGTCTACACGGCTGTATAAACTTATATAACTAATGCATCAGAGACACCAACGAGTCTTTATTGTCTTTCATGATGAAATCCTCGTCCATATGTCTAAGATCATTGTTGACCTTTTAGATTTGGCTAAACATCGTGACGAGTGCCACATGTAGTGTAATGAATGTCTACCCTTAAAGACTACTTGGTTTTTCCCTCTCTTTGTTGAAAGGAAAAAAGTTTTATTTTATTTCGGTTGTCTTGATGTCTAATTCGTACTTTTTACGATATGCTTGTCTTAAGGAGGAGTAGGTAAGAATGTCTAACAAAACACTCTTTAATTATACTACATTACAGTCATACCTCTATCAGTTTTGGGATGTTCGTTCGTACCCTGAACAGCCTGTACACCAGGTTTCTGTCTGCTCCCACCATATGCTGTGGCTTGATCTGTATCGGGATATCAATATTTTATCACAGTACCATAGTGAGATCACAGATCATGTTATAGATCGTACACAACTGACTATAACAATATGATATAGAACGTGTGTATTGTTATGAGGGTATATTTTTGCCTTGATCAAATAAGTCACGGTATTTCAATTTGATTGTAAGCATTCTATTAAAACACAAATTAATAGCCATGCTCCTAACTCGAACAATGTATTTTACATATATTAATGTAAATTCTCAAAGATATGTTTATCCATGCATAATATATCACTAATAAGGCTGTTTAATAAGTTATACAATTTGCTTTTTTTTTCAAGTAAATATAATAGAAATGAATATCAATAGAAACGTGTGGGACCTTATTAAAGTAGTTAAAATGTTGATGACAACTCTTTGTCAAGGGTCATATAGTCTCAAGTTTAAATTTAATATAGAGAATATAAATTTATATATATAATGTAATTGCTTTGTGTTTTTTGTGTCTTAAAAAAGGAACAGCTTTGTCTACATTGGTATGCTTACTTCCTTGCTCCCATAGCAATTAAATTAAGTCGCTCTTATCCTACAAAAATACTTTTGCAAGGATCCAGTGTTATTTGGGAAGTTTGATAATACTTCTTTGACCAATATATATATATGCCTTACCTGTAAATGTCTTGTGTGACATGCTGGAGTTCTCTCCCCTGGCTCGCCTCCAGGCAATGTCCATTTTCTTAACATATTCAATGACCAACGACTTCATTCGTTTATGAGTTATCTCCAGCTTATCAGTTAATGCCTTATACTCTCCGTATTTGATCGTTGTGTAATTCATAAGTATCCCAATAAGATCTGACATGTTTTTAATTTCATGTTTATCTGTGGGTTGGAGAGGAATTCTATCAAACAGATTGATTAATCGATGGAATCTGTCATCTTCTTGTCCTATTTCACTTCCAAGTTTATCAACCATATGATTGTGTAACTCAATTACTTCTATGGGAACCTCTTCGGTATCTGTCATTATGGAATTACCTAGGACAGGAAATCAACATTATTATATGGTCATATACACAAGACAATACTGCTCAGTATGTCAGTAAAATGGACCAATAGAACTGTGTATAACTGGATAATACATAAACAACGATAGATCCAACATTTCAATTCAATGTTAATGTTATACATGTATGTATAATAAACCTTGTTATGGAACTGCTTCCTGCTTGCTATGTAGGTCACACACAGACACGTACATATGTATCATGTTTCTATGGACAGATTGTTAGACAACAGCCTTTACAGACAGTGGAATGAATATAAATATACAGTGTAGTTCTCATCTATAAATATCCCTGTAACCTTCTGGAAACACGTACTTACTTTGTAGCATATCCTCTTAGGGTTAGTTTTACATTGCGAAGTTTCCACGAATTTGAATAGGGGTCACGTGGTGTATATCAGCAACAGAGTAATAGGCACCCGTATCTTCCTTCACAACTCATTGATAACAAAAATATCTCATCGAAAGGTCCGATTTATAGAGAGACACAACCAGGAAAAATACGTTTTTCCATCAATATATACTAAAACTAAACGTACACATACTTTTGTAGATCCCCGTCTTTAACTATCATTCGCTTCTATAAATAGTTTCTGGGTGCAGTTCGCGTTACGCACAATTACAAGGTTAGATATTCTATGTGTAATTCGTTTGTGTATGTCCTCGTACGTTTCTGTGATCATATATAGATAGTATGTGTGTAGTTAACACATGCTTTGTATGCGTAATTGGAGCGATTCATAGCTACACCAGCATTTGGTGATGGATCTGATATATTTGATTTACCTCGTTTTAGATTATATTTTACAATAAAATGACAAACGGCTTTTCAAATCGATCTGGTCCTTTAAATATTATACTAAATCCAGTGTACTTTGGACCTTTGGTACAAGCGTTACTGTCAGGATTGCGGGACAACAACTAAAACAAACAAACATGGGTGTTGGTATTGCTTGGTAAACAAAGGTGGAATGTAAATATGTTATACTATCTAAATCAATTTACCTGATAAAGATTTGTATCCCACTTAAGAATGCCAAACTGACATTTTCATTGATGTCAAATTATTAACTGATAATCTAAAACGTTGACATATATAAACGATCATTTGATATATGTGAAAGTCGATATTATATATCGGGGTAACCTAAGGTAATATGATGCCCTAAATATTCTTCGTAGAATTGTGCTTGAAAATAGAACTGTACGTCTTTCTTTACTGTTCCGGGAATTGAGGTTTGGTCACTCTTTCCTTGAAAGAGGCACCAAGAGGGAAAATCAAAAATATACTTCAAATATAATTCGTAGATATAGGCAGTATGTAGGCAATTCAGAGAGCATGATGCAAAATATAGGTCACGGGTCCTAACAAAGGTTTATCTATTGGACGAGTATAGATAGTTAGGTAAGTATATTATTAAGTAATAATGCACACAGTGACATTTTCGAGGTATTCCGTTTCAAGACAAACTTGAAAGTGGACATTGGAGCCGAGCAAGGGGAGAGAACTCAAGCATGTCACAAAAGACATTTACAATTATAGGTAACATGTATAAAATCCAAGACAAAGAACAAAAATTATACATGGGTTTATTTATTTTTGAATTATATAAAAACTGTTTAAACGTATCCTTTCGCCTGGCCTGTAGCCGAGATTTAAATTAGAAATCGGCGTAAAGGCGTGTTTATAAACATTAGTGCTTTAAGTATAATAGTAATATGTACAACCTCTCCTTTTGATTGTCGGGATATCTAATATTTGTGAATTGTGATTATGATATTATTGGCATTGTCGCTACCACGTATATCGGGTTGTAGGGGTATGTGGTCGGAATAAAAAGCAGATAAATGTCCTAATAACAACCTCTCTATATTTGTAGACGGAATAATAAAAGCTAGAGTACATATATAGAGTCATAAAATTAACGTTCATACGTTAAATTTTGATATACAGTACGGTATTTATCAAAATAGTATAAACACACATAAGTCCGTAAGTAACACTCGGTACCGTGAACGGTGGATTTCAAATTTGATATTCACAAAGCATTCCAACAATATTTCTACTTAAACCAAATCATTTTTCATTTATTTATCATTTATACTTTTCACTGTAAATATTCATGTTTACTTTTGCCAAGCTTGCTCTCGAAAGGTGTTATTTTCGTTGTTTATTGTTTTCCTATATGAAATTATTTAATGTAAATCAGTAAAATATCTTGTGGCAGGGTCAAAATCTTAAGAGTGTATATAGTAAGTTTTAATTCTAAATGTTGTATTATTTTATTAGCATCAATTAGTATCATCATCAGCACA